TAAATTAATGATTGTTGGGTAAATGAAAAAATTATATTTTAGTTGGAATAAGTTGTTTCAGTTTGAAAAAAAAAAAATGATATAGGTAGCATTTACGGCCATGTAAACCATATCAAAGATTTTATTTTTAGAAAGATGATGAACAAATTCAATAGAATTGTCGTATTTGAAAAAAATTCTATGCAAGCGGCATGTTTTTTCAGCAGACAGCTACATTATCAACAACAAGGATGCTTTCATTCTATTCATGAAAGGAATTCAAAGTTGGAAGACACTTTAGATAAATTTATTCAAACGTCTTTGTCAAATCAAAAGAAAAGTAAAGCTTTAATAATAAATTTGAAAACTCCGATTGGTCAATTGGCAAAGTCACTTTTTAGTCAACACAAACTATTCCCAAAGAGCATTATAAGTCTATCACTATGAGAAGTGGTAAAATGATTGAGAGAGGAACTGGAGATAATTTGGTAGGAAGAAATTATCAAAAAAGAAAATAAAGATAAGAGCGAAATAAAAATTAGGGTTGAGAGAGAAGAGGAAAACAATAAAAATGAGAATGTAAATGAAGGAAAAAAGAAAGAGGTAAAGAAAAAGGGTGCAGATAAGAAAGAGAAAAGAGTTAATGAAGAGAAAAAGTAGTGCGGTAAAGGCTTCACTAGTATAGAATGATCTGCTCATTAAAATTTTGGGTGTTATGGTTTTGTAATATTTAATTTAAACCTTAATGTATTTTGTATATGGTTTGTAAATATTTAATCTATAAATTTAAGTGATATTGATTATATTACTTATTTATTGTTGTTCAAATTATATTTTATTTAATATGTTATGTTGTAATGAAAATTGTTTGATTATATGTTAAATTTTATAGTTTCAAGTATTCTTAAATTTTTCATGGATTGATCGATGAAATAGAAAAATGAAAAGCATTGTTGAAAGTCCTAAATGAGGCTCACATTGTCTATGATATCTCAGTGGACAAGCTAGAGGGTATTGTTGGCAACATCGCCGCTAACAATTACTTTACATTCACTGATGACGAAATTCCCGTGGAGAGAAGCAGGACATAACAAGGCTTTGCACATTTTCTGTGAAGTGTATAGATCATATCTTAGCAAGAGTCTTAATTGAAAACGGCTCTTCACTGAACATAATGGCTAAAATGACCCTAGCAAAGTTACCATTAGATGGATCATACATGAAGCCAAGCACCATGGTGGTTAAAGCGTTTGATGACTCTCAGAGAGAAGTGATTGGGGAAATAACTTTACCAGTGATGATTGGACCTATTACCTTTGAGGTAACATTCCATGTGATGGATATTGCATTGACCTATAGTTGTCTCATAGGTAGACCATGGATTCACTGTGCAAGAGTTGTACCTTCTACACTTCACTAGAAATTGAAGTTTATTATTGATGACAAGTTAGTCATTGTGTCAGTTGAAGAGGACTTGTTAGTAACTAAGCCCTCATCCACCCCTTACATTGACGTCACTGAAGAGACTTTAGATATGTCATTCTAAGCACTCAAGATTGCAAATACGACGTATGTGGGGGAAAGAACATCTATCATAAAGCCGCAACCATCAAATGCAGTTGTGATGATAGTAAAAGTCATGCTGGAAGAAGGTTACCAGCCCGAATGAGGGTTAGGCAGGAATGAACAAGGATTAATCAAGTTGCCGGAACCAATTAACAATAAAGATTGATTTGAACTTGGTTATAGGCCATCGAGGGATAAATAAAAGAAGGATAATAGCTGAGAGAAGAGAAAAGAGGATGGCCAAATTAGAAAATAGGAAGCTTAAAACTGGAAGGATCCCCTCATATGATCTCCTACGAAGCTTTTAAAGTGCAAGATTTGAATTTACAGATCCTATGGCTGCTACTAAGGAAGACATCCATGAAGATGGACATGTCAATTTAGTTTATGCTTGCTCGTCGAATACAGAGATCAGCAACTAGGAGATCATTAAGCTTCTTGTGGTTTTAGATTCAAAATTCAAGTAATTTGTAATGCTGATTTAACAAGAAAGGAACTTTCTCTCAACCATCCGAGGAGCTACAAGAGTAAGGAAGAGTTGCAAAAAATACAAAGGGCTCAACGACATCCAAGAGAGAGGTAGCAATCAAAGGAACAATGGATTCAGGTTAGTGCTCTCTAAACCCTTAATTGTGTGAGAACTATGTATTGTGTTGTGAGAACCACATAATTCAAGATCAAACGGGAACGATAATTTCATAATAGTTATATCAAATAGAAATTACATGATGGATTAAAATCTAATAGTTGACATTAGAGCTTTTGGTTGTGAATTTTGTGGTTCTCCGTAAAAGATTGGTTCTCCATTAAAGTTTTCCCCAATTTACGTGATGATGGATTGCCATTATTTTGATGTTGATTGATTGTTTGGATTCAATAATTAAAAAATAAAAACTAAGGTTTTGGAAGCTAGAACGTTAGGTTTTGAATATGTAATATGAGTAGGGTCATACATAAAAGAGCACAACCATGTATCAGAGAGCAGAGGGTCATGCATCTGGGAACAGGGCCACGCATAAGGAACAAGCACGACTATGCTTCAATGAAGCATGACCTTACATCAATTATAAGCACGATCATGCATTAGGAAGCATGGGCATGCATCAGAAATGAGCATGGTCATGCTTCAACGAAGCACGACCATGTATCAAGTTAAAATACAGCCGTGCATAGTGATTTCATGACATAATAGAATAATTCATAAAATTTATAGATCATTTTAGAATTACATCAAAGTGAATTTTACTCACTAAAGTGACTAAATTCTCAAGTTAATTAATTCTAAATTGTATGATCATAATGGAAACTTCACAATTTAGTGCTTAATTTTAAGGGTAGTTGGTTAGCCACCAAAGTGGCCTAGCTTTAAAAGTTTGGTTAAGCATTTAATTGTGTGTTGTAAATTGTTCAAAATTGTTTGATGCTATATAGTAACATAAATGGTGAACAATTTAGCTCATTAATTATAATGCTAGGAGATCATCCAAAGGTGGATCATTGCATATGATTAATGACATTAAGGAGATATGTAAGCATTTCATAATATGTTTGTATATCCAAAGATGACTTGCATATTGATTTGAGTGACTAGTTGTCAATTAAAGTTATTTATTTAGCATCATTATAGATAAATTGTGTATTGAGGCATTACCCAAAGGTAAACTTATATGCATAATTGATGATAGTTAGTTGTCTGAATCCATTAATTTTATTTAAAGCATAAATGTTTAAGCATGTGTTAAATATTTCAGTCCTGATGAGTACGTATGACATGAGCAATGGTGTAGTCAAGTTCAATGGGCTTAACTATGATGATTGGGCTAAGCAAGTTCGATTCTAGCTAGGTGTTATGGAGTTGGACCTGACAATTATTGCGGAATAAGAGCTTGTAGTCATCACAAAGACCAGTACTGAAGAGGAAAAGACTCTTTGTGAGCCTTGGAAAAGGTCGAATAGGTTGAGCTTTAGCTTGTTGAAAATGACTATGGTTGAAAATGTGAAGCCATCAATGCCAAAGACTGAAAAAGCTAGAGAATTTATGGCAAAGGTAAAAGAGTATGCATAATCGGACATTACTGACAAGTCCGTTTCAAGTACCCTGTTGACTAAGCTGACTAATAAGAAGTTTGATTGGTCACAGCTAATTCATGACCATGTGACTGAATGATCAATCAAGCAGCAAAGTCGAAATCAATAGGCATGGAGGTAAAGGAATTCTTTCTAGTGAATTACAACACAATTAAAAATAAATGAAACATACAAAAAATTAAGGCTATACTGGTTTAAGAGGAAAAAAGGCTGAAGAAGATGAAAGAACACTCTGTCCATCTTACATTTCATGAAAGGGCTAGTAGTAGTAAGGTTAAGCCAGACAAAAAAGACAACAAGGATAAAGCCTTATAAAAGGTTCATGAAGGCTGAATTCAGAAGGGTCAGAGATGCTTCTTCTGCAAGAAGGCTAGCCACTTCAAAAAGATTGTCTGAAGACAAAAGTTTGATTAGAAAAAAAAGTATAAATTATGTTTCAATATATTTTAAATCAAATCTTATTGATGTACCTAAAAATACCTATCAATTTATAAAAATTTACAAAAACTACTGTCATTTGATTTTATATTAGTTACAAAATTAATTTAAAATATTTTTTATTCAATTTAAAAAGTATTTTATTCATTAATATCCTGATTTTATTGATATTTTAGTGGATCATAACTCAATTGTTTTACGTGCTAGTTTATAATTTAAAAGATAATAGTATATATATAATAACTCTTATACATTTAAAAACTATTTATCATAAATTTTTAATAAATAATATTTAAAAAATTGTATTATTATTATTATTGAAAAGCTAAGTTGATACTTGTTATATGCTTATTGCAACCATTTACTATTGTTTTTATTTGGTGTAAAGTGAAAAACAATTTGAAAATATAATCATTGTACACATTTTATATTTTTTTTAGTTCGAGACAGGGTGTCTTCCAGTTCAAACATGGTTATTGTTACTATTCCATTCCAACAACTAGAGAGAAAGGTGATAATGAGTAAGGTAAAAAAATTTATGAAAGAAATTTGTAAAAGTAATTTTTTATTTTTAAAAAAATAGAGGCCACTACTCTCTCTCTCTATATATAATAAAAAATTGAAATTAAAATTTTGGGAACCATGGCATCGCCTGGTTCCTTCCTTCCTCCCTTGCTTCCAAGAAGTTACAGTGAAAGTTCTAAATCGTGTTTTTCATTTTTCCACTGATTATTGACACCGGTCTCGTCTATAAAAGTGGAACACAGGGTAAAGCTACATGCCCTCAATAATCTTTGCCGTATCAATTATCTCTCTCTCTTTCCTCGTTCACTCCTTCCATTTCCTTGAACCCTTTGCAGTTATACCCACTTCAGGTTTTATAGCTCCTCCCGTCTTCCCATAGACCCAATCAATTTTGCTGACTCAAGATGCCTCAACAAGACCGTAGTTGGATGGTTCCCATCGAAGTGATGTTGGGTTCTCTCAGCCATGGAGAAGTTCAGGCATGCAGCATTTCTATCGTTCCGGACGAGATCCGAAAAGCGGGAGAAAATTCTTTCAAGCCAAAAGTTATCTCCGTAGGACCCTTACACAGGGGAACCACAAGGGACCTCCAATTAATGGAAGAACCCAAATGGAGTTACATGAACAAGTTTCTCCAACGAAATGAAAACCAAGTAGTAGGAAAAACGCTCCAAGACTACGGCGACGACATTCTCGGATTAGTTAAGAAAATTAGCGCAAGCTATGGGGGTACCGTCCAATCAGAACCTAACGAGTTGGCTAAAATAATGATTGTAGATGGGTGTTTTCTGTTGAATCTCCTAATCAGGCTGGGCGATTCAATAACCCGGAACGAAAGTAGTGTTGATCCAGAAGATCCCATTCTAGAAAACGAAGAAAAGGTGGTGTCTGTTTTGAACGATATCACAATGCTTGAGAATCAAGTACCTTTCATTGTTCTCAAGAGGTTATATAAGAAGGTTTTCAAAAACAGCAATGATAACGAAGTTGCTAATATTGTGCGCAAAGCCTTTGGCTATCCAGAAGTTAATAGTTCAGGAGGCGCTCATATACTTCACCTAATGCACTTGTCCACTGTCCAACAAAACACACAACATATTAATAAACGTGCAGACAAAGAACTAAAGCGTTGTGCTGCAAGGCTTATAGCTGCTGGTGTAACAATTCAACCTGCGGATGATCATGGCGGCTGTAACAATAATTTAGTCAATAAGTTCAACTTTGACATAAATTGTACAGATAGTGAGCTGAAAATTCCGGTGTTGCGTGTAAAGAAAACGACGGAAGTGAGATGGAGGAATTTGATTGCTTGGGAACAGAGCAAGATTTGGGTAAGTTGCCAATACACTTCGTATGCTTTTTTCTTTCAAGGTTTGATCTGTTGTAAGCATGACATTGAGATACTTTTGGCGAAAGGAGTTATAGTGAACGACTCAGGGAAGAGCATAGGGGAATTGTGGGATCTGTTTCTCACAATCTCAAAAGGTGCTGAGCGAATGAATTTGAGATATGAGGGGATTTGCAAAGACTTGAATAAATATCGAGGGAGAAAAGTTAGAACGGTGTTGCAAGAGAAGCCTATAGTCACTTGGCATAAGTGTAGAAGGGTGTCTGATAACATGGTGTACTATGGGAAGAAGTCGTACAGGAGTTTGATTAGCGATCATATACCCACAATCTGGAAACTTATAGGAGTGCTTGCAGCTGCTCTGCTTCTTGTTCTCACCATTATGCAGACTTATTATGCAGCTCACAGCAGTGGCAAAGGCTAGTTAACTTGTAACTGTTTTCTTGTTTCAGCAAGTTTCCATTAGTAGCAGCTGAGAAGTAAAAAGATTGCAAGAGTTATGTAATCATGTGTTCATGTTTTAGCTTTTGTGCCAAATGAAAAATAACATCGATTGTGGAGAACTTAGAACCGATTTGCAACGAGGGAGATGGGAAAGTCAAAATGTCGTCCACTGCGTTTATTTATAGAAGTGTTATTTCACGATTTTGATCAACTATCATTGGTTGAAGAATTAATCAATCATAATTTTTTTTTATTAAAAATCTTACTAAAATATGTTAAAGTACTGTTCGGGCGAAATGAAAATTTCTCTACTGCATTTGAGCTATTTTGGCCAAAAAAAACTTTAGGGTCCAAGTTTATTGCTTCTCAAAAAGTTTAAGTTGTAACAACAGATCATGACTCATTTATAACCCAAATATATATTTCAACTAAAATTTTACATTTATGCCTTTACAAAAAAATTTTACATTTTGACAAGTCTTGTGAAATAAATGATGGCCAAAGAACATGTCAAGCCCGTAGTAAATTATTAAAGAAAATTTGTAGTACTTTATACTCACTAAATATTAATTTAATGATTATATGATATTAAAATAGATTGAGACGAAGTTAAAAAAAAGAAGAAGAAGTGTGAACAGTGCATGAACAGTGTGTAAACAGTGCATGAACAGTAAATACTGCGTATGAGTAGTGCATGAATAGTAAATAGCGTGTATGAATAGTGCATGACAGTAAATATTGTGTATAAACAGTCACCTCTGATGTCATGGCAAACGTCACATATACGTACAGTACGTATGTACAGTGTTTTTGGCATGAATAGTGACTATGAATAGTAACTTTCGGTGTGAGCAGTAGTCGACAAACAGTAACTTCGACGTGAACAATAAATTTCAAAAAAATTTCTATAAAAAAGGGGCTTCATACGGAATTTTCATATCTTCACTCTTATCCAAAGTTCTCAAAGGTTTTAAGGTAATTTCTCACAATTTTCTCTCATCTTAAACATAGATTTCTCGCTCGATCTAAGAGTCTACGTCTAATCTAAAGGATTTGAAGAGAAACTTCGTTTTAAAGCCGAATCTTCGATGAATCTTCTGTTAAAATAAGTAATAATCGGTAGATCTGGTGTGAATCATCATTCTGAGGTAAGGGGAGCTTACTTTAACCTATAAATTATATTTTTGAACGGTTTGATATGCTATTACAAGAAGTTTTGATATGATTTTGTTAGATCTTTTAAAGAAAAGCTATTTTTTAAGTTGTAACTACTGTTAATTGATTTAAAATGCTGAGATTTTGACTGATCTATTATAAACTTGTTTTAGCTGAGCTATTAAAATAATTTTAGTGGTGCTGCATCATGCTGAGATATATGTTTTGCATCATTATAAAGTGAGTTACATATGTAGGTGGATAGACGTGTAACCGTAAGTTCATGCTGAGCTGCTATACTGCGCTGTCTGGATTCAGATACCGGAATGGGTTGCTCCCAGACCGGCTCAGTTCTTTCTAAATTACTTAGGCTGTGAAACCAGTTGGAACCAATTGTGGAGAACTTAGAACCGATTTTCAACGAGGAAGATGAGAAAGTGAAAATGCCATCTACTACGTTAATTTATAAAATTGTTATTTCACGATTCTTGCTAAACTATCATTGGTTAAAGAATTAATCAGTCATAATTTTTTTTTATTAAAAATCTTACTAAAATATGTTAAAGTACTGTTTGGGAGAAATGAAAATTTCTCAAGTGCATTGGAGCTATTTTGGCAAAAAAAAAAAAAAAAAAAAAAACTTAGGATACAAGTTTATTGTTTCTCAAAATATTTATGTTGTAACAATAGATTATGGCTATATAACCTAAATATATGTTTAGTTTTAAAATTTGGATGTAGCTTAAAATTAATTTTAAATCAGATAAAAATATATTATAAATATTTTTATATTATTATTAAATTATTATATTAAAAAATATTTCAATTTTATAATAATTAATATAAAATTATATTTGTATATATTTTAATCTATTAATAATATAATTTTTATTATTTTTATATTGTATTAAATTAATATATATTTACATATATTTTACTTTTTATCATTTATCCACCACACAAACTAATTATATGGATTAAATTTTAAACTATTTTATTTTATTTTTTTAATTGATTTAAAGTAATTTTAAAATTTAAATTTAGTTTAAAACCAGTTTTAAATTTGATTTTTGTTGAAACTAGTTTTAAATTTATTTTATGTTAAATTAGTTTTAAATCTAATTTTAAATTTAATTTTTAAGACAAAGTTAATTTTCAATACATTTGTGAATTTATTTTTTAAGATAAAAATAATTTTCTTGTAGGCACAGTTGCATTAAATTAATGTATTTTAAGAAGATTTTAGTAATAACCATCGTTTCTTGTGAAATTTACACCCTATATAAAGAAACCTCATACACTAGAAAAGAACACCTTCTTCTCTTGGAGACACCTTTTTTCAAAGACACCTTCTTTTTGAGAGACAATTTTGCCTAGTTAAGTTGTAGTGACTTCAAGAATCTATTGGCAGTAGAGATCATTGTTGAAGATATAAGATATCCTTTCAAAGTTTGAAGTAGTAATTGAGAGCATGTATTGGGGACAAGAACTCTTCTCATCTCTTTCTTCTTGAGATTCTTTTAGTTTGAATTTGCTTTTCAAATGACTATGAGTTTCTTCACAATTTTTTTTTTGTTTATTTTATTATTTGTAGTTAAATCCATAGCTAAGGCTATAGTCATAACATACTTGTTTTTAAATTTATTGTTATCGCATTATATGTTGATTGTATGTGTGAAATTGTTTGAATTTAGAATAATTTAAATGGTGTAAACTGCAAGGTATCTCACTGTAGCAAGATATCTCTCGCTGTAGTGTGAAAAAACATCCAGAATCAAGCTCTTTGAAGCTCTCTCGTTGTAGCGAGAGATCCTTACTTTAGCGAGAAGTGGATAACGATGACCGAATAGCATCTTCGCTGTAGCTAGATTTTTCGCTATAGTAAGGGATTCTCTAACTGGGTTAGAACACAACAAAGAGAAATTTTGTCTGATTTTTTGTTGTAGCGAGAGATAGCTTGTTGTAGCGAGAATATGGTGAGTTAAGGACTATTTAAGGGTTTTCAACTTAAAAAACTTGAATTACAATCCAAGTTTCAACCTTTCCTCTGTTCTCTCTAATCTGTCACTTTTTTTTCTTAGAAAACTTCCCCTAAACTTCAATCTTCTTTCAAATACGGGCTTGGAACTCCAAGTAATTTCTTGGAGCTTAATTCTCCTATTTTTGTTTATTTTTTCTATTTCTCACTTCTCAAAATACTCTCTTTACCTAGGAAGAGCTTGGTTCTTTCACCAAAACCCCTCATAACCCTTCTTTCAAAACTTTTTCGAGGTAAGAAGTGTTCTATTTTGTTATTTTAAGCATAATGAACATTTTGTACTTAGGAGATTACTTTTGTATGTTTTCTTGTATATAAATATATGATTGAATGAGATGTACGTATTATAAAAAGTTATAATGATGTATGTTTGGTTGTTTTGGGATGATTGTACTATATATTTGTTATATATGCAAAGGAGTTAGTCCAAAAATGTCTTGAGCAAGTGTGATTCTTTAGCTGAATGATATTAGGTTATGGTGAAAGGTTAATGAAGCATGTTTGATTAACCTTGGGTGTTAGTACTATGTTCTTGTAGTACACGTGATTTGGACTTAGTCTGGAAGTGCTTAGTAAAGCACAATCTTTTACCTAAGTGATGAGTTTGACATGAAAAAAAATTATGAGATAAGTATAAAGTGCTAATGGATCTAATGTGAATAGTTATAGAGATATGCTGAGGTACAGAGTCCAGAGACGATGAAAAATCTGGGGAAACGTAAGGTGGTGAGCGATATTTGCATATGTGTACAAACAATTTCTGAGAGCAAATGCATCACATGGACTCGCACTCGCTTCCTGATTAGATTGCTGACTATACTTTGCTAAGAGGCCCATTATTGTATACGTTGTATCTGTGTACATTGGCTAACCGACAACTATTTACCTAGTTGTATAAGAGCTCAAGAACAGTTAAAGGCATCGTATATCTGTGATCACAGTGCACTGAGAGTGCATATTTGAAGGAAAGGAATGTAATGACTTGCGATGAAATATATGCATATGTGATTATGTGAGAATAACTAGTACACTATGTAATTAGCTGATAATTGTGATATATTACTTTTGAGATTGATATTATTATGTATTCTTATATTCCATGATTATGATTGTGTTGTGATATTGGTCTTTAAAATAGTGTTATGTTTAAATGATATGATAGATTCTCATCCTTACTAAATATTAAGGATAACGACACCATAAAGACAACTTAGATTAGTAGATTATCTTGTTAGTGGTAGAATGAACTATGACTTTAGGGAGGTTTAGCATTTTATGTATTTTAACTTTAACATAGCTAGTGAAAATGATGATGTATGGACTTGAGAGATAAATTTAAATTATAACATTTCTTTTGATTTCCCTGTAAATAGCCATATCCATCACATCTTTAGTTTTTATATATTTTTACTTTCCACGATCATAATTATTTTAGGAGACCTACTCGATATACATTTGAGAGATTTTCAAGTACAGAGGTTGTGGCGTGACTCCTACCTTAGAGAGGACGAAGAATTGACTGCTGAGAATCTAACCGAGGTAAAGGGCTAACACGATATCGATGACTAGGACTGAGTCTTCACTGTATGGGTGTGGATAGGGACTGCTCTTAGGACTTATTTTATTTTGGTTATGTAAATATTTATTTTAAGTTTTACAATTTTTTTATTAACAACTTGTATATTATTATATTATTTATATGTAAATGGAATTTAGTACCTATATATTCTTTAACTATTTCAGTATAATGTAATTATTAAGTCATGGTTTACTTTGTACATTTTACT